CTGCGCCCCACGGGACAGAAGGGGAGGCAGCCAGGGAGGTTCTAACCCTGCACTTCCGGTCCTGCTCGAAACCTCAGAGTGTAGGACTGGAGAGGGCCTCATATTGGAGTCTCTCCTAGGCAGACCTTGGGTAAGTTCCAGCTACAAAGGAGAGGCCTTGGTCCAGAAGGAGGAGGGGACAGATAAGTGAGACAGTGAGGGAGGAAGGGTGGCGGGAGACGTAGAGGAGAAAGGGGAAGGAGGAGGAAGAAGGGAGGGAGGAAGCCTGGAGGAAGGGGGAGGCGAGAAGGAGGAAGACACAGAGGAAGGGTACACAGCAAGGGGTGGGGGGAGACAGGGAGAGCTGTGCAGAGTTGATGGAGACGGAGAGTGAGCGTGGACAGCAGCTGATGAGGCAGGAAAGATGGAGAGGCCATGACAGACAGACAGACAGACAGAAGGGGTAAGGGGAGCAGGGGGAAACAGAAACAGGAAGCTGGAGGGAGAGGTGGTGAGTTCAGAGAAAGTCAAAGGAGAGGTGGGGGGAGAGAGGAGGAAGGGGAGGAAGAGGAAGAGGAAGAGGAAGAGAAGGAAGAAAGAAGAGGAGGAGGCTGAGGAGAGCGGAGGACAGGGAAGCCAAGGAAGCAGAGAGGGGAGAGAGCAAGGAGGAAAGACAGAGGCGGGGGTGGGAAGCAGGGTGACCGAGGAGCCCCGGTGACAGGGGCTGCGGGAGCAGAGAGGCCTGGGGAGGCCAGAGCCCCGGCTGGAGCCCCACAGCAGGGAAACCCCAGTCCCTCACTGGCCAGCCTGTGGATTTGTCACACAGGGGGTGGGGAGGGAACCTGGGGCATTCGCTTCACTGCTCCGTGCCCTGCATCTTCACTGTGATGCGAGCCAGGAGCTGAGTACATTCAGGACAATCAGGACACAAAGCCCTGGGTCTCCGCTCCTGCCACCCAGGAAAGCTGACATCAGTGAGTGCCCAGCCCAGGACCATAGTTAGTATGGGGGGAAATGTATCAAGGACCCGCTGGCAGAAACACACTGCGCCCGGAGCTAAATCCTGTACCTGAGTTCTCTCATTTGCTTACTTCCCAGTAACGCAATTGCAATTGAGAGGCTCAGTCACCGAGAGGGTGTGAACTGCCCAAGGCCTCTCCAGAGGCTGGAACTTAACCGAGGTCCACCTAGGACTCCAGTCTGAAGCCCTCTCCAGTCGGTACAGTAGAATGGAGTAGTCAGTAGAGTACTGAGTAGTCAGCAAGGAGGCAAGAAGACCCTGCCCTGTCTGGGGATGGCCCTACATGCCCTACACCTACTGAGACATTTTGCCCATCATGGGACATGGGACACAGGTCACCTCCACCCTGGTGGCCCCTGTGATCTTAGCCACATCCTCTACTTCCAGCAGGAAGAACAATGATTGGAACAGGGTGACCTGACTTGCCTAGGATGGTCCCCTTTTTTCTGATTAAGTCGGCACAAGGAAATGGCACTGATGGCGATGCAGGGCTTTGCCATGCCAGGGTGAAGCTGGCTCAGGACAAGGTGGCCTTTCTGAAGGTTCTGAGGGCACACAATGGGCCACACCATCTTCGCATCTTGAACTGGGGAGCAGGTGTCTCTTGTAGAGGAGGAAGATGCTATTAACACAAGACAAAGATATCAGTGTAGCGGATGGGTACTGAACACCAGCCAGGTGCCCGGCTCTGTGAGGGATGAGTCACAGCCCGACCTCATGGGCTTCTGAGGTCCTGAGCGTCACACACATCCTAGGGCACCGAACTGGTCATCACCATAGTGCAGCACCAGTGGCAAATGCTAGGGTGCCAAAGTGGGAGAGCGAACGTGGTGAGAATAAGGAGAGGGTGGGAAATGGAAGGAGGGCAGGAGGAGCTGCCAAATGGAGTCCAAGCCGCTCAGCTGCTCTCTCTAACTTGCAGTCCTGTTCTGGGTCCTCAAGAGCTGGGAGGGCATGTGTTCTCCACCACAGGTAACTTCACTGAAAAGGTTTTGGTCTGTTTTGTTTTTCTTGTTTCGTGTTTTCCCCACCAATAGTCTTTCTCCAAGTCTCGCCCCCGCCCCCCACCCCAACGTTTTCTGCCCTCTGACTCAAACCTGAGGGGAACATTTTATTTCCTGCTTGGAGCTTGATGCCAAGACCGCCCACAAGGTGGAGCCTGTGCTCCCTCTGCTGGCTCCCGCAGCCCCGCATCCCGCGGTCCCCACTCCTGCCAGCCTCCCTCCCCTCCTGGCCTTTGCCTCCGCGGGCCCTGCTGCCGAGTGCATTTCCCTTCTGCTCCAGAGAGTTCAGCTCACACATCTGGGCTGAAGCATTTTCTCTGACTCTTCTGGCGGGCTGACCTGCCTGGCACAGGTGGGACCGTTTCACCATCAGAGACTGTTGTTTAAGTTACCCAAGAGACGAAAGAAATGTCGGCCTCCGAACTGCAAGGGGGCTGACGGACCAAGGAACAACAGGGACAAGCCCAGCTCGGCGAGTTGCTGAGTCCATTAGGGGTCACTAGGGAGTGGTGGACAGCACTACCCACGTCACCAAGCCCCAGTGCTAGGTCACTGATTCTATAGGGCACGGATTAAAACAGCAAAAGCAGGACCAAAAGCAAGAAGGCGCTGTGGGGAAAGCTATGTGTGCTCCGCTCCCAGGCACTTTTTCTCTGGAGACTGCAGGTCTCAGAAGGCCCTGTCCAGCCGCAATGGCAGTGACCTTGGTGGGGTGCAGTCTGGGACAGTCAGAAAGGAAGGAAAGTGAGCCAAGTCTGCGGCCTCAAGCAGGGGAGATCGTCCTGCAACCCGGAAGTTCTTTGAAGGTTGTTTTGCCCTTCCCTTGATGGCCTTCTGGAGGCCCCAGCAGGCCTGGGCACCTTGGCTTAGAGACCAGCAGTGCTGCTTGCTGGTTGTGCTACCCGGGGTGGTTTTCTTGTTCACCTGGGAGTGTCCCTTGTTATGTTAGAGCCCATCTTGCGGACCCCAGGAAGCAACATTTCGGTTGTTTGTGGACATTGTCACATCCAGGGTGTGCCTTTCCTCCTGGAACTGACACCTCGGAAGGTCCACAGACATTACAGGCAGTAACGAGGTTAACTTTGGCCCCTCCTGTTCCTGCGTGCACCAAGAACTTCACTCTGCAGGTGTCACCACCTGGGACCACGGGCACCAACCGATCTTCTCTGCGTAGCCCAGGAAGCAGGTTCAGGGTGGCTGGGAAGGGGCTGTACCCCAGCAGGGAAAGTGTCAGAGGGACTTGGGTCTGACAGGGAGCCTGCAGAAGGAACAGGGTTGGGGAGGCACATGCCCCTGCCCAGCTCTGCGTGGGTGCTGCTCCTCGGAGGCTGAGGCTAAACCGGGGGGCCAGATTTCCAGTCCCACCCCTTCACCTGCCACCTGTCATCACTCATTGCTATGGTGATGGCGATAGTAGCATCAAATATTCCTGACCATGTCATTACGGTGCAGCAGAGGATGGCACCAGACCCTGGCCCAGGACAGGGAGCCACTACTCTCTCCTTGTCTTGGTCCCTAGATGAGCTAAGCCCAAGGCCACACTTCCCACTCTGAGTGCTCCCTGAATTCTCTGCCCGGCCTCGAAGGCCACCCACCAACCCTGGCCAGTCTCAGTCCGGCAAGCCTGGGAGTGGCCCTCCAGAAGACCCTGCAAGCGGTAGATCCCCAACACTGGGTTAGGAACCTGGCAATAAATGTGAGTTAAGAGGAGCAGGTCACATGTGTGTGTGTCTGTCTATGTGCATTTGTGTGTCTGAGCTTTTGTATCTGTGAGTATAATGGTGGGGTGTGGCGTTTCTGAGGTGTAGCCATCTCGGGGTGTTCCTGTGTGTCTCTGCAAATATCTGGGCACAGATGTCCCTGAATAAGTGCAGCTTGTGCAAATTTGTGTGTCAGTGTAATGAGAGTGTGTGCCTCTGGGGGAGTGTCTGTGTTTTGCATCTTGGTGTGTGTTGGTTGTGTGGGTGCGAATCTGTGGCTGCTCTGGTGTTCTGACTGCATTTCTGTGTGTGTGTGTGTGTGTGTGTGTGTGAATGTGCTCTGGGGCTGTCTCAGGTGTCCCTGGGTTGTGTGTGGAGGTAGCGGCACCTGCAGTGAGGGTCCACCCATGCCTGTCTAGGCACTGGGCACCTGAGTGCCAGGGGAGGCTGGGGCTCGTCCTGTCTATGCCTGATGCCTTCATGCTTGAGGTGTCTGTGTTTGCCCTGACTGTATCTCTGCACCCCAGGACCAGGCAGACGTTGATGGGACTTCTCCAGGCGTGGGTGAGTCGGGGACAGTGTGTTCTTCTCCCACCCCAGGCTGGGACCCTCCTGTCTCTCTGGGGCAGTCCGAACTCAGGTCCCAAGGACATGGAGTGATACAGCTTCCCAGACCTCAGGCCAGGGGTGGGCAGGCCCCAGGTCCCTGAAGGAGTTAGAGTGAGAAAGGGGGGTGGTCTGGAGAGGACTCTGGCCGGGCCAGTCCTGGTTCTGAGCCTCCAGCAAGGGCTGGTGGGCAGAGCTGCTGGGTCCCCGGGAAGGAATGCATTTGTGGGTGCCTGTGGAAAGTCTGGGTTTAGGGCTCTGAGATCCCCAGGCAGGGCAAGAGGAGAGCTGCAGGACTGCCTGGTTCCCAGAGTCTGGGATTAGGCTTGAACACAGCAGTAGCATTTCTGGAGGACAAAAAGGCAGGAGACACATTGGAGAGTGGAGGGAGGGGATGGTTTTGCAGGAAAGTGTAGTCACCAGGCCAGAGTTGGCCGCTCTGGACACACAATAACACTCGAGCCATAGGTTCCCCACCACTGCCCTAGGGCAGGTGCCTGAGTCGCACGGGGAACCCTCTCCAGACCTGTGTCCTGGGTATGGAAAGGATGCTTGGACTCCCTGGGACGCTGGTGCCCAGAGGGGAATCTTGTCTGGGTATCTTGGACTGGGGATTCGGGATAATTGTGGAGGGAAGGCATGTAGCAGGGGCTTGTTCCCGCAACAGATACAGCACCGGGGCATGGTGGCTGAGGTTTTTAGGGTTTTATTACCTGAATCCCCAATCCAAGAGGTCACCAGGGCCATCCAAAAGACAGGGGTTCAGAGAAGGGCGGGGCCAAACTTCAAAGGGGAAACGTGTCAGGACCACGGCTCTTCCGAGGCCCCTTCCAAGTCAGCCTCTTCACACCCCTTTGAATCCGGGAAACCGAGGCTGCCAGGAACGTGCTGCCTGGGAGGTCCTGGGTTGATTGCTGACTACATCTGACCGAACTCCTTCTTCCGAAGTTCGGCTCGTTTGATCTTGCCAGTGATGGTTTTGGGCAGCTCAGGGACAAATTCCACCTGGGTGAGGAGAGAGCAAGTCCGTCTGGACTTGGCTGTGCTGTAGTTTCCTACCTTTCCTAGTGCCTCCCACCCAGGCTGACTCCAGGGTCCTCCTCCTCGCCCTGACTTGCTTTGACCAATGAAGTGTGACTGGCAGTGAAGCCTGTCCCCTCTAGGAGGAGAGTTTAGAGCCTCCGATACTGGCCACCCTCTCCTTCAGCTCTTACAGCGTCTGTGCCACTCTGCGGAGGCTGCCCCTGCTGATGCCCTGACACAGTCTCCACTGTCAGACACACGTGCCTTTGAGGTCCAGCTCTGCCCCTTACTCACTGCAACCACAGAGCCTGAGCCTCAGTTGTGTCTCTGTAACATTGGGTGGCTGTACTACTGCAGGGTGTGGCCAGGATTAAAGGAAATAACAGTGCACGTAGAGAAATGCTACCTGGGCCTGGTGCACACAGTAAGTGCTCAGTAAACGCTCACCACCTAGCATAGTCTCATAATGTGTCCATGCTGGTTGTGAACATTCAGACTACAAAAGAAAATATTGACTTTTTGATACATGTACCTCTTTATTTTAAACCAATGGGATAATATTATATATATTCCTTCATAGCCCCCCCCCCCACTGAGAATGGAAATCAGGACCCTCACACTGAGCTACAACCCTAGCCTCCCTCCTTTTATTTTGAGAGTCTCCCTAAGTCACTAAGTTGCCCAGGCTCAAACTTGGGATCCTCCTGCCTTAGCCTCCCAGTAGACAGCTTCTTTTGAAGAGGAAAACACTGTTGGCTGGCTAACTGTCTCCTGTCACAGCCACCAGGCAAGGCAGGTGCCACCGAGCCCTGAGAAGGGCTCAGGAAAAGCAGGCTGCTTGCACCCGCCTGCTGCTCACCTTCCGGGGGTACTTGTATGGTGCTGTCACTGCCCTCACGTGCTGCTGTAGCTCCTTGGTGAGCTGGTTTTGGTCATGGGACCGGAACGGTGGGTTCAGAACAACAAACGCTTTCACCACCTGCAGGAAGGAAGCACGAATTCTACTGCAGAGAGAGTTTAAAAAGCCAGTGTCTGCTGAGAGAAGGAAAAGGTGAACTGCTGTGGGAGCCCACAGTGGCTAAGAGCCCGAGGGCTTCCTGTCCCGTGCCAGACCTTGGAAAATGATTTGACCCCAGGCCTCCCTTTTCCAGTACTGGAGATCGAACCTGGGCCTTTCACACTGAGCTACATCCCCAGCCCTTTTTCATTTGAGACAGAATCTTGTCTCACTCAGTCACTAAGTTGCCTAGGCTGATCTCGAACTTGCAAGCTTCCTGCCTCAGCCTCCCAAAATGCTGAGGATACAGGCATATGTCACCATGTCCAATAAATTAGCCTCACTCTCCTTCTCTGTGAAATGGGGTTCATTCCTCGCAGGATTTCTGCAGGTTCCATGGGACGGCGCATATGAAACAGCTGCTCTGTTTAAATTGCTCTCACACCCCTGTCCTTGTTATCAGCGTCATGCTCACATTTAGTGTATATACAGTTCTTTGTCTGGCACCCAGTTGGCTTCAATAATCGCTCATGATTTATTTTTGCTCTGGTAATTATATCCTTGCTAATCACAGGAGTCCTACACAGAAGGTGTTCAGTTAGCACCTGGATCAGTGACTACGTGCTCTGGGGCTGCACTGCTTACAGTCCTCTTCTGGCTCCACCTCTTAGCTGTGGCTCCGAACCCCTCTCCTTCCTTAGCTACAGAGTATAATGAGAGCCCTCAGATTACCGAGTTTCCTGACACTTAGACGGTTTGGAGCCTCCGCCATCACCATCCGTAGCGGCGCCACAGTGCCACCTGGTGATCTCCTCGTGTAAATGCACGCCCGCCCGCCTAGTCCGCCCTCCACCCCAGGTGCAAGGCGGTGTTGACCCCAGAAGGGTCCTCTGCGGCCTTTCCCGTTCCCCCGCACAGCCAGACTCGACAAGGCCCGTGTCCTCACCTCCCCTCGCGTGGGGTCCGGGCTGCTCACCACGGCCGACTCGGCCACTGCCGGGTGCTCTGCCAGGGCGTTCTCCACCTCCGAAGGCCCGATGCGGTACCTGCAGGATCAACCATCCGCTCTGGGCCAGGTGCCAGGGCTGGCGGACAGAGCCCCAGATATGTACTTTGAAGGGTCACGGCTCCCCTCGGTCCAGAGGGCAGATGTCCTGCACGGCCAGTGACCCGTGACTTGCTTGTGCTTTGGGCCCCACAAGTGATGATTTGGACTCTAGTGGTCAAAGTCCCCAGCGTCCCCTGGATGCCTCTCTGCACTGTCCTGGCCAAGGGAGGGGACGGGTCTGTGTCCCCCAGAGCTCTGGTGCTTGACCAGGCAGCTTCCTGCACCAGAGCTGCAGCTCTGGGGAGCCCCCAACATTTACCTGAAACACTCAGACAAACTCTGCAGCTTGTTCCCGACCATACCTGCATGCTTTGTTTTACTTTGTCTTTAATGTATATATTTAAAGTGTAAAATGTGATATTTAGTAAACACATAGTGAAATGATTACCACGGTCAGACAAATGAACGTAACCCTCCCTCCGAGTAGACAGCACCGAGAAGTGGGTATACAAAGTGCTTGTCAATGGGAATAGCACTTAGAATCTTCTGGTAGTAAATTTTCAGTACATAGGGGGTGTGGACAAACATGGTGAATGTTTAAATTTTAAAAAATATTGCAATCAAAGACACATTGCTATGAATCTTCCCTTCCTGGCATCGGACACATTTGTCCCATTGTTTTTGCCAACTTCTGAAGCAGCTCTGCAAGTCCCCTTTCATGTCTTTAGCTGCACTGTCGTGGCTGCCTCAATGTCCTGGATTTATTGAAAACATTGACCTTTCATGGTTATTTTGACCTTGAGGAAGAGCCAAAAGTTGCAGGGTTCCAGATCTGGTAAAGGACGTGGATGAGGACACACTGTAATGTTTTCACAAGCCCGCCTTTCAGTTGGATGGCACTTGGCAGCAGCATTCCTTGTATTTCTGATCATGCTTTGTAAACCCACTTATGAAAAAGGATTTCCAGAAGTGCTTCAGAAAGTGGCAAGAACAGTGGGATGTGTGTTTGAAGTGAGGGGGTTAATGGAAATGTGTCTTTCTTTTAGACAAGGTCTCGCTATATAGTTCAAGCTGGCCTTGAACTCACTATGTAGCCCAGGTAGGCCTCAAACTCATGGTGATCCTTCTGCCTCAGCCTCTCGAGTGCTGGGATTACAGGTGTGAGCTACCACGCCTGGTAGCAATGTGTCTTTTACTGCAATATATTTAAAAAATTTAAACATTCACCATATATGGGATCCGGGCGGGGGGATGTTTTAGAAATTTACAAGTAGCTAGGAGGAGTAAGTTCTAATGTTCTGTTTCACAGCAGGATGACTATAGATCACAACAATGTATCACGTATTCCCAAATAACTAGAAGAGAGGTTTTTGAGTGTTCTTAACACAAGGGAATGATAAATGTTCGAAGGGATGAATATGCTCATTGGTCTAATTTGATCATTACATAATGTATAGATGTATCACATCACCACAGTGTATCCCATAAATATGTATAATTATTACATTTCAATTAAAAATGGTTAAGAAAACCTCAATTTCTCTGAAATATTCAAAAGAATGGTGTAATATGTCTTTTTAAAAATCCCTGTAGGGGTTCAGGGTCAGAGCCAGGCCTCCCGGGTTCCAGTCTAGACTCCTGCCTGAATTGTCTTTGAGACTTCAAGCAAACTTCGTCAGCGGCCAGTGGCCAATTTCCTCATCAGGAAGTAGGGGTGACAGTCGCATCTCTCTACCGGGTTGCGGAGGCTGGTTACCTACATGGCTGAGGAGAGTGTTTCCACTCAGTGAGCGCTCTGTCAAGGTTAGCTATTATCGTTGCTGCTCTGATGTTCCTGTGTGTGACCTTTCGTGCCACGCGAGAGCAGCACAGACATCAAGCAAGCAAGCCAAGGAGACCAAGGCACAGTCTCCCACCCCAGTCCTGTCCCCTTTCTTTAAACTACGCGAGGTTTCCTTCCCCTTCCGGAACGTCGTTTGTGTCTCTGGGGGCAGGTGTGCGCAGGCACACAGGTATCAGGGCCCGGGCTCTGTCAGCAGAGGGGTTAAGGGTCCCCGCGCCAAGGCATGGAGGGACGCGGGGCAGGCAAGATCCCAGGGGGCTTGGGAGGTCAGAGTCAGCTCGGAGCCAGCTGCACCTACCCAGAGGACATGATGACATCGTCGCTCCTCCCCAGGAACCAGATGTAGCCCTCCGCATCCATCGTCGCTCTATCCCCGGTGTTGTAGAACTCCCCGCATTCCACCTCCGCTGTCTTCTGTGGGTTATCCTGCGAAGAGAACAGAGCCCCTTTGTGGAAGGCAGTTTAGAGATAAGGAGCTCCCAGCCCGGGTTCGGACCTGGTTTTGCGTTCAGCCTCTGACTGCACCTGGTACTTGGGCAAGTTTTGTAACTCCTTGGAGTCTAGTTTCACGACACGCAGTACAGGTTGCGGCTCAGTTAGTGGACGGTATTGAGCTCACTGCCATGACAGTTTTTAGAAAGAACGACTCATCTTTGGGTGGCACTCTGCTAGAATAACATTTCGACGCTCGTACGAACCCTGTTTATTTTATTCCCTGTTGTAAGCACTGCATGGGCCTGGACAGATGAGAAGGGCCAGCACACAGGAGCTGGATGTGTTGCCCTCTCCTAATGGTACTCCATTTGATCCGCGCAGAAAGCCTATGAGGCTGGTTGTTTTGTAAGATAAACTTTTTTGCTTTCAGATAATTGTGGGTTTTCATATAGTTTAAAAAATAATGCAGATAAATCCTATGTGCTTTTTTTTTTCCTGCAGTACTAGAGATTGAACTCAAGGCCTTCGCACTGAGCTACATCCCCAGGCCTTTTTTATATTTTGAGACAGGATCTTGCTAAGTCACTAAATAGGCTTCAATGCAATCCTCCTGGCTCAGCCTCCCAATGTGCTGGGATGCCCTGTACCACCACACACAGCCTACTCTCTACTCTGGGACCAACTTTTGGGGGTTCTATGGATGGTAGAAGATAAACACGCGGTATTTTTCTGTCCCTGGATTATTACAGTTACATAATGCTCTCTGATTCTTTTCATATCCCTTCAAGGATGTTCTACAGGTGGAATTGCACAGTAGATAACCTTCTAGGATCGGCTGCTTTTGCTTCTTCGGTGCAATTCTGTGGAGATTCATTCAGGCTGCTGTATTTGTCAATAGTTTGATTGTTTTTGCTGCTAAGCAGAATTCCATGTTTTGACTCTACTTCAGTTTTTGTTTATTCATTCAGCCACTGAAGGGTGTCTTGGTGGTTCCCGGTTTCTGGCTGTTACGAATAAAGCTTCTGTGGTCACTTGTGTGTTTATATGAAAGTGACTTCGTGTGAGCCTCACATTGTTTGTAGCCTGTTTTACAGAAGAAGAAACTGATGTCCAGAGAATCACTAAACTGGCCTTGGTATCTGAATTTAATTCTTGCTTCATAGTCTATTCATTTGACCCCTGAGCAAGCTCTCTTGTACGATAAGAAGTGATTTTTAAGAGGTACCCAAAAACCCTGTGTGAACAATGGACCACATGCCATTTTGGATTAGATTTCCAACACTGATTATACCAAGGAGATTATTGGTTTGGTGTTGACATGCTTTTAGAAGCTCTGAAAAGCACCAAGAGAAAAAGTAAGCTTTGGGACCAGAGCTTTCAGCAGTAGCGGGGTTTAGTTGAAATTGAAAATTTTGTTATTTAAAATTCTAATTATGGTTGTAAATGCTGTCTGATTTTGGCAAATGGTACTGTTTTAAATTTATGATCCTAGATTAACTTGTCAAAAGCAAACATTTTCAGAGTTAAAGAAAAATATAAACCAAGTAATTAGATGTCAATATGAGGTGTGATCAAAATTGTGAACATTTAAATTAAAATATTTATCACAATAAAAGACACATGGTCATTAACAGCCCCCCCCCTTTATCCTGTCTTTTTTACCACTTTCTGAAGAAGTTCTGGAAGTTGTTTTTCATGAGTGTCTTTACAAGATGTGATAAAAATAAAATATGGTGAATGCTGCTGCTGAGTGCCATCCAATAGAAAGACAAGATTGTAAAAATATGACAGTGTGTCCTCATCCACCTTATTTCCTGGATCTGGTACCATGCAACTTCTGGTGCTTCCTCAAAGTCAAAATAACCATGCAAGGTAAAGATATGGAATCAATTCAGGATACTGAGCCATCCATGACAGCACAACTAAAGACCCTCAGGAAAGAGGACTTCCAGTGCTGCTTCAGAAGTGGCAGGAATGATGGGATAAGTGCATTTGAAGTGAGGAGGTGTATTTTGAGGAAGATTTATGAAAATTTCTTTTACTGTCGTAAATTTTAAAAATTTAAACATTCACCATATTTTTTGCTCACACTTCATGGATATGGAAAAGTAGCAGACATGGACACAAATGCTGGAAATTTAGGAAAGAGTGACCAAAGAGCAAAGTGAAGTTTCACCCCTGACTGCTGCCCGGCGCAGTGCACTGTGTTTGATGCACTGGCCTCACTCACCCCTGGGCCCAGGCCTGCTCTCCAGGCAACAGACTTTCTTGAGGTTACTCTTCTCACATAAGGCCCGAGGCTGGACCCTGGAAGAAGGGCCCCCACATCCAGGAAAGGGATTCTTACCTCCCTGGGGCCTGGATATGTTGGAGGGGTTCTCTAGGTGATCCTAGAAAAGTTCCTGAACAGTGAGGGGAAAATATCTCATATGACACACAGAGGTGGCCAGAGTGCATACGGCTTTCAAGGACATTCTTACCCTAGGGTATTTTTTTTTTTTTTGTGGTACCGGGGATCGAACTTGGGACCTTGTGCTTGTCAGAAGGCGTGGAGCCACTGACCTACATGCCCCTTGGCTATCTAAAAAAAAATATTAGTGGGAAATAGTGTTATGAAAGTAGTGGCTGGAAAGTTCCAGTTTCCTGGTTCTCTATCGAAACATCAAAAACAAGCAAACAAACAAAAAGAGAAGCAGTCTGAATGGCTGACTATAGTTACTCTGGGAACAAATATTTACAACAACCAGGCAGATGTCCAATCAAGACCAATCCGTCTTCAGAATGGTGGAAGACTTGCATGGCGCTGTCCCTCACACTGGGCCCTTGGTCAAGCAACAGTCAGGGCTTTGAGCACGGGGCAGCCCAGGTCCCAGTGTCTTTCTGTCCCCCAGTGTAGGAAGCAAAGGACCTGAAAATCATTATGTCCTAATTGCTCTGGGGGATACCTGTAGGGCTCATGAAAGGTGCTGGATTAGAGGTGGGAAGGGCAGCAGAAAGGAGAAGGTGATTTTCAGAGTTATTCAGAATTACCACACCACAGAGATGGAAGACTCAATTTTCAGTAATCAAAACACAGTCACAGGTGTACAAAGAAACAGGAAAATAGGGTGAGTAAAGTGTTAATTGACAGAAAATGTCTCCGAGGACCACCAACACTGCATGTATGAGAAAAATAACTTAAATATGTTAAATATGCTCAGTGAGTCAAGGAGGAGGGAGAATGGACAAAGAATGAAAGGAAATCAGGAAAATGACATGAACAAAATGAGAATATCAACAAAGATAGAAATTATCAAGGAGAATCAAATATAAGTTCTGGAGGCGTAAAGTACAGTAACTGAAGTAAAAAGAAATCCACTGATGGTTTGGCAGCCTATTAGTAGCAGGCAGAAGAAAGAAGGAACTGAAAACAGAACAACTGAAAAAATTAAATCAGAGGACCAGAAAAAAAGTAGAAAAGTGTACAGAGCTTAAAAGACTTGTCGGACATCAGGGAGCTGACCGAATATGGGTTACTGGAGTCTCAGAAGGAGAACAGGGAGAATGAGGCAGTGAAAGTTTATCCAAAGAAATAATAGAAAAAAAATCCAACTTGAGGAAAGAAAAGCCAGATGTAAATGGACCAATGTTATATGATTCCACTCATGCGAGGCATCTAAAATAGGCAAGCTCCCATGGAAAAAACGTAGAGGTAATGAGGTGACAGGTACTTAGAGGAGGAGTAGGATATTATTGTTTCATGAATATGGAGTTTTGGTTTAGAGTGGTGAAAATTTTCTGGAGATGAATAATGGTGTTGTTTGCAAAAGTTACGAATTTATTAATGATGCTGAATTGTACGTTCAAAAATGGTGGAAAATGTCAACTCTATATCATAGTTCACCTCAATAAAAAACAAAAAACAAAGGCTCAAGGGAGGACTAACGACAAGTGATCTTTGCACCATGGCCTCAAGAAGGGGCTGCTTCTCTGTGTCAAGCATTTCCCCCAAAGCAGCACGCAGGCCTTAGCTTAATTCTCAGCAGCACAACTTCATGTTGGACAAAGAAACAGTAAACACTATATACATATATGGAGTCCGCTAAAAAATGCATACATGCTTCAGCAGTTTTCCATACTAATAAATGTCTGGGAGCTCATGGCCACTACTTTGAGCACTCCTTGTAATTGTAGAGGCCAAAGGTAACTTGTGTTAATCTCATGATGTCTTAATAAATTTAGTATTAAAATATTTATCCAAGTGATTCTCTTCCAGATGTATACTATTTTTGGAGGACTCTGTATATTTCTCCTATATTATATTGCATCTATGTTATATAATGTATTAGTAGCTTTGAAAACCTTGATGTGTGTGCATGTGTGTGTGTATGTGTGTGTTTCTCAAAGCTGCCTTCACATTACAATCATTTGAGATTTAAAAATGTATGCAGGCAGCACTCCCTTGAGGCCATGACGTGTGGACAGTGTGACAGCAGGAAAGCTTCAGGGATAAGCCTTTGGAGAGTAAAGAGGGAGTCTGAGATCCATCTCAGGGCCTCCCTTCTGTGGCCAATCTTGGAAGCCGAGAATTTCCCTTTTGTGGCCTTGACTAACTTGAGGGGCCGGGTTGTATTTGATAAAGAGTTTCAGCAGGTTTCTTGTTACCCACTCTGGATTTCTGCAACTCTTAGGTTTCCCATTTAGGATTTGAGGATCCAAAGGCATGGATTTGGACCCTAGACTACTTACTGCTCATTTGACATAGTGACAACACGTAACACTTCCAACCTGAGACTTCCCTCTATAAACTCAGGCTCACAGGGCTGTCTGCAGGCTCAGTGAGGGTAAGAGATTTGTTTACTCTGCTATTGGTGAAGAGGGATGGTATTACCTGAACCCAACTGAGGCCCTATATTTATGATCTCAGGATATACTGGAACCCAAATCTGGTTCTGAAGCCAGTCTGCCTTCTACCCATTTGTTAGCCCTTAAGTCCTAGTGAAGTTGGACATGAAGGGACGTGGCAATGCACTGTGAGTTTGAACATAATTAAAATAGGCTGCCTTGACTTGGGGCAAACACAGGACAAACTGAGGAAGTCTCAGAATGCAAAGCTCCTGCTGGGATTCTTGGGGTCGGGATGGGGGAGATGGGGTTCTCTTACCTTATAGTACATGAAGAGGCCTACAGGCCTGGTGGGTTTGATCCTGATTCCAATGTTTCCTTCTGTGTTGGGTGGTAGGACATTGCCCTTGTCGTCAATGATCTGGAGGAAGAAGCCTGTTGAACTCACCTGCAGGACTCCCCCAGCCCTTCAACCATGCTCTGGCATTGTCTGTCTCATTCCTGGGATCCCCATGGGGAAAAATGGAACCATAATAGAAGGCGTTAGAAAATGGAATAAGACTGTCAAAAGTCTTTGAAATCAGCAAATGTGAAATTCAAGTCAGAGGTCTGCTTGTCTCATGGGTGTGAAGATGTCACCAATGTGCCCTCAAGCTAGAAAACACTGATCAAGAGAAATGAAAAGCTTCATGTACATCATGACCTTCATGAAGAGCATCCTTCCTTTCGAAGCAGTTGTGTGTCTGTATCGGTTCCTGGGAGCGGACAAGTGTATGTACCCCTTTATTGCCCAAAGAAAGCAAGCCACAAACAATAATGAAGCAAAAAATGGAATCGAAAGATTTTTTTGTATGGAATATCATTTCTATCAGAAGATAATCAAGATATTTCAGTCCAGTGTACATCAGCATTATTGACATTCTGGATTCTAACTCCATGTTGACTTTTTAAAAATCAACTTTTTCAAATAATAAAGTGTAAATTTACTGGAAAAAAAAGAGAGAAATGAAAAGCAGCAGTTGCACGGAAAGCTGCCAGTGCCGTGTCCAAGTGTTCCTCTTTCTCATGCACTGTGTGATGTCTCTGGCTGCCAGGGAGAGCTGTACTGGTACTCACGGTAATGTAGTTCTTGGCTGAAGCCTCCTTTAAAAACTGGAGGAAACATAAGAGGGGAGAAAGAAGGGCAACCGGGGCAGGGAAATGTGGCTGGTTCTGCCAGCTGATGTCGCGTGAGGGTCTGACCCCAGCTGAGCTCTCAGCGCTCCCTGCCAACACCCTTAGGACCAGACCTGGACGTCGAAGGGCGAGATGGCCTTCCCCATGGAGCCTGGCTTGATCTTCATTTCCTGAAGGACACTGCAAGTAACTCCCTGTTTGTGGAAGACAGAGGATTGCGGGTGGCTGGGAATCCAGGCTGATTGCAACGGAGCGAGAGCCCCCCCGCCCCGCCCCCGACATGTCCCAACAGATGCCATTCTATGCTACGTGGAGAGCTCTCGGGGGAAGCCAGAGGCTGGGGTTCAGGCTCCGAGCATGGACCCAGCTCTGTTCGGAGGATGCACGCTGCACCCAGTCTGGATCGGGCCTGTGCTAGGGGCAGCACTGACAGTGGCCAGGGAGGGACGCAAAGGCCAGGTGCCCACTGTATGCCAGGCATGTGCCAGTTTGCCAGGGGAAGGTCATGAGTTTGCTTCGTACACATCTGCTTGGGGCCACCGAGCTGTGACTGGAATCCTGCCTGAGCCCCTTCTTGAGGCTGTGTTGAGATTGTTCAGATCCCCTACAGTTCCCTCTGGTAGCACTTCCCTCCCTATTTGTCTTGCCTCTTGACCATTCTTTCCTTATCATTATTTCAATAGCTGAATGCTTTATTTATTTATTATTTATTTTTGGTACTGGGGATTGAACGTGGGACCTTGCGCTTGCGAGGCAGGCGCCGGAACCACTGAGCTAAATCCCCGAGCCAAGCTGAATGCTTTTCATCAGACAGACCACCATGTGCTACCTGGGCCATTAGTGCCCTTCATCTCCTCCTCCATGAAAGGAGGGTAATTGTAACACCTACCTCCACAGGTCTTGCAAGCGGATGGGAAACTGCCCAGTGTGAGCACACACCAAAAGGTGGATGAAGGACTCCTGCTAGCTGTTACCCAAACCTCAAGATAAGTCACTTGAACTTTCTCCTTCTGTAGTATTTTCCTCCATACAGTACTTCTATTGCAGCCCACAGAACATTCAAACTATTTTTGCTTGTCTTCTCCCTTGGTAGATAGTAACTAACAAGCACCACAGGAGTAGAGATTGTCCCATTGGCTTCTGTGTGCCCAGATTTGGGCAGAATACTCCCTAAAAATATCAGTGACCATAGTAATTTCAATGTGATCATGTGGTATGGGCTAGACACTAGCCAAAGCTTTATAGACTTCATCTGTTTGACAAGAGTGGCGTTAGCATTTCCATTTTAGAGGGGAAAGTTGGGACTCATCTATGGTCTTGAATTCTGTGATGAACAGGGCTAAGATTTCAGCCTGGGGTGAGCTCCTGGGAGAGGAAGTTCTCTCCCCTCTGCCCTGGCACTATTTACACCGTACATGTGCAAAAGATAAGCATGAATGGTGAATAGGGGTGAAAGGGCTTTTCGGAGGAAGCCACATCTATTGCTGGAAACACCAGGTGCAGAGGGACTGGGTCATGGGCGAAGCGTGTTGCTCTAAATATAAACTGTCACCCACTCAACAACAGGCCGAGAATCTTAGCCTTTCTTGGGCCTGGAAGTAGGTCAGTTAACTTATTAAAAAAGTCAGATAGGCGTATGAATTAGAAGTAAAACAGTCAGTTTGTTCTAAGGCCTGGAAAGGCAGTCACTTTCTGTTAGCTAGAGGGGTAATGGAGAGGTTGGGAAGTGGCTCTGTCCAGCACCAGAAATGGATTGAGCATGTGCTGGAAGAATGGCCCCTCCCTACACTGTCACTGATGAAGTCCCTGAGGTTCGAGACTCTCAGGATACTCTAAAGGCTCAGCTTACCTGGTGGCTCAGTGACACCCTGGAATCTCACGGAATGTGTGTGTGTGTGTGTGTGTGTTGTATACTGAAGGTCTCTGTCCCTCAGCCAACCCTACTAGTATCCCACAGTCAAACCCGTGTGAGACATCCTCCTAGACACCCAGATACGACCTTCTCGAACCATCTCCAGCCTCTGCATGCTGTCGCCCTGGGATGGGACAGTGGAGCTGGTGGTCTCCATGTTGCTGGAGAGATCCTCCTACCCTACCACACATCCCACACGCCCCTGAGCCAATGGTCATAGGCACAACGGCAAAATGCCCTTCGATCCCTTTTCAAGTTTCGTCCAATAGTTTTCAGCAGGGTGTTCTCTTGATGAGTTGGTGAGATGTGGGTTGTCTTCCTGCGATTGAATTGTGACAAATTAACTTTGAACCCTGGAGGCTTCCCTTGGCTTTGAGCAATGCTGTGCACACAGTGGGCCCTCAACACAGAGTGGCAGTGTGACTCAACCCATCTGCCAAGCAGTGCCCAAGCGAGTCCGAATGGCCCAGAACGGGCTCATCCACCTACCGTTTCTGACTGCCCATAGATCTCGTGAAGCAAGATGCCCGTCTGTTTCTTCCACTTCTCAAACTCCTCCACCAGCAGAGACTCCCCACCAGTAAAGCAGTGCTTCAGGGTGGGGAACCTGAGATGTTGGGGAAGACATAGGGGTCAGGCCTTGGCTGCTCAGCACGCTCAGCGCTCATGGCTGGGTCATCTGGATCCCTCGTCCTTCTGCTCCCCACTTTCCTAGCTCCCTACTGATCATTTGCCTGTTGGTCAAGGCCAAGCAGGTGCCGCTCCCTTCCTGTCCGTTCCGGTTCAGTCTTTGGGCGGAGAGGAGGTGTGTGGTTGGTATGCTATTGGGTTCGATCAGGGAAGTTTGTACTAAATTTAGTTTTAATGTTACAAGAGGGAGAAAATGTGTTCATCAGAATTCATCTCAGGGGAGCATTCGGCGTGGCTACAAAAGCGTAAACCATGAAGAGGGGAGGGACGAGACCACCAGAGTTACACTCTGGTAGTAATAGATTTATATTGCCTTCCACGAGTGCAGGGTTATATTAAGGATTTCTGTATTTCTAAATAAGGAATGGAAGTTAAAGTTGGGACATCATTTGCCCAGGACATCAGGGAAGATGGGGTCGAGTGTGGGAAAAGGCAGAAGGGTCACAGGAAATAGAATTTCAGAGAGACCAGTGAGGTCTGATGTGAATGTTGATAGTAGTTTATCAGGGACAACTTTCTCCTCCATTTTCCTCATGAACTTTCCTTAAAGGACATAGAAAGAACCACAAAATAATGACTGGATTCCCTCAAGAAAATGGGGAGAAATGGTTGAGGTCTGATCTAGCTGGAAGCACCACTGTCCCCTCTTCACCCCTCCTGGGATAAAGCCAATGAGACAGACAGGAGGGTCAGCCCACTGAGGTAGTCTTCCTCCTGCTGCTGGAGCGTTACCTCCTGTACAGAAAGTGGGCAGTCTCAGGTGGGATCATTAAATGTGCACTGCTGAGATTTTCACTGGCTTTGGACCAAGGCCATCATCTGAGCAATGTTGCAAAAATTAGCTGTCCTATGGGCTCTGAAGTACAGATGGAAACAGAATCCAGCCAGACTCAGGCTTCACGAATAAAACCTAATTGTACTTCAGTTAGCTTTGTAAAGGTAGTCATTAAACTCTTCCATTGTCATAGACTATGTTAGCTCTGATTTTTTAAAGTAAGCATTTCAATTTCAGAGTGTCTAAAAGATATACAAATGGGATATATAAATGACCCTGAAAGGGTCAAAGAGCAGATTTCAGATTAACTAAAAATTAACCCTCAAATACAGGGCGATGCAAAACTAAAACTGCCATAGGATGATGTGAACATCCATCAGATTGCAAAAACTAACTTTGACAATAATGAGTGCTAGTAAGGGTGAGGAATGATGGACATTCCCCTACCTTGATAGTGGGAGCACACATTGTGTACTTTGGAAAATAGTGTGGTAGTGTGCAGCGTCAGAAGTGGGCTAATAATGTTCCTAGAAAAGGTCTTCAGAGGGCTGGGGATTTAGCTCAGTGGTTCCGGCGCCAGCCTCACAAGTGCATGGTCCCAAGTTCAATCCCCGGCACCAAAAAAGAAAGAAGAAAAAGAAAAGCTCTTCAGAAATGGCTGCTCATATGGATCAGGGAACATGTACCAGAGTTCAATGCAGCATTAATCATCAAACCCTCTAGTGGAAATCTCCATTATGGTTGGACTGATAAAAAATTATGGTGTTTTTATAAACTGGAACATTATACAGCAGTGAAAATAAACTAACTTTAGGAATATGCAACAACATGGACATATCTTCGAGAAGTAATGTTCAAAAAAGAAGTCAAATGTTATAGAATAGTGTATTACTAGATACATAAAGTTCACAAGCATAGAAAATTGTATTACGTGTTCAGAGGTATCGCCTTAGGAGCTATATAGAAGAAAGTAAGGAAATTACAATCATTAGTCGTGATAAATCAACCTGACTGGATTAAGAAATGCCCATTGGATTAGCAAAGGACACTTGTGGGTGTGTCTGGGTAGGTCATGGCAGCATGACCTTGGGGTCTATATCTGGTCCCTTGCCCCTTCCCCTCTATAGCTGTTCCCCTGCTCTCCTTTCTGACTCTCATGACCAAAGCAGCTTTGCTCTACCACACCCTTGTGCCATGATGTTTCTGCCTTAGAGCCAGCCAACCATGGACTGAATTCCCTGTAACCGTGGGGCCAAATTAAACTTCTCCTCCTTTACGATTGTTGGTATTGTGTCTTAGTGATGGGAGAGTTGACTAACACAGAAGAGAACACTTGTAAAAACTGAGATAGTGATTTCCTTCAGGGAAGATGAGGAGGCATACAGAAGTGGGTGTTGGGGTGCTGGCCATGTTCTATTTTTGTGACTTAGTTAATTGTTACTCTGGCATTTTAATTTTTTTTTTTGGTACCGGGGATCGAACTCTGGTCCTTGAGCTTGCGCAGCAGGTGGCAAAACCACTAAGCTAAATCCCCGGCCCTGGCATTTTAATTTTAATAGTTTGTTAATCTATACATTTCCTTCTTATGCATTTTTCTGAATGTTTCCTATTTCTCAATAAAAACATTCAAATAAACACACAATGCCGCAAGACTCAGTGCTTCTCTTGGGTCATGCTTTTAATTTAGCTAATTAGCGTGATTGGTAACTATCACCACCACCACTAACACACACCTCAAAAAACCAGAGGAAAAACAGTCAGCTGATGGCACATCAAATACCTTAAAATCCGATGCAAAGATTGTTGTTGCCAGCCACTTGTACGTACCTGGGAATTTTCTCCTGTAGAATCATTCGAAATACAGATGGTGCAGCTATGCAGTGAGTGATAGGGTATTCCAGTAGTGCCTGGAAAGTGAAGAGAGAGGAATTTTTAAAATAAGAAAGTTAAAAACAATCTGCCAATTATAAGAATTTTAATTCTAATCTCCCTTCTAAGAGAGCCCATTTATCCATTTGTTAGCTCTTTCAATATATGTATATTGGGCATGGGGGCCTATAAAGAGTGAGATAATGTTCCAGATTTTTAACAGGAAATAAAACAGGACTCAAGTGATTAAGACAGAAGTTGGCGGATGTCATAACAGAGATTTGAAGATGGTTCTATGAGAACATGAAAAGGGAAATAAATAATCATTCTGGTTGTGTGGTCCAGTGGCTTTGGAGGAGGTGGCATTTGGTAGGGACATTAGCAAATGGACAAGGTGCCTACAGGCAGAGAAATGGGGAGGGATTGGAAGGAAGAAAAGTTCAAGGGTTGAAGAAACATTGAAGCCATCGAGAGTACGTCACTTGGACACAGAGGAGAGGAGCGAGGGCTCAGGTTAGGGAGACTGAGGTTAGTTGAGGCAGATTATGTAGGGTCTTCATCTTCACTCCTCAGAGACAAAAAGCTGCAGAGTTGCAGACAGGGTGGAGACAGGCTCAGAGAGCAAGAAACTGGAAAGAGAAGACAAGGTGGGTTCGGGCTCTACCTGACCTGACTTTGAATCTCTGTGATTTGGTTTCCTATCTGTGAATGAGAATATTCCCACGCAGGACCGTGATGAGGGGCAGTACAACGGGCACGCGGGGGGCGAGCTGGCTCCACTCTCAGAGCCTCTTCTTTGGGCCCAATGAGCTTTGGATCTCTGGCTTCCATCTTCGCATCATCTCACATTCGTGCTCTTTTTATAAATTTCAGTTGGACCCTCTGTCCTGTCCACTGTTCCCACCCACAGGGAGCCTTTCCATGTCCTGTCTTGTCCACATGCATGAGCATGTCTGTTACTCAGCTGCAGGCATATGAGAGTGGATCGGTGGCTTGGTGACCGACAGCTGCTTTAGGCTGGGTCATTCAGTGTCCTGTCCCTCTGCCCTGGTCACTGGAAAGGGCCAATGTTAATTCGGGAATGAGGGGGTTGCTCTGCTCAGCTCTATGCGGGTGAGGACCCAAAAGCAGGTTTACAAATAGAAGGGAGCAGGAACATGAAGAAAAGTAGAGGAGACTCAGAATCTGTCTTGATCCCCAACGTCTTTCTGAATGTTGTTCCTGACCCTTGGCAAGCTCTGTTTTCTTTCTTTCTTTCTTTCTTTCTTTCTTTCTTTCTTTCTTTCTTTCTTTCTTTGGAGAACTTCCAAATTTGGATATTTTCCACTGGGCCAGTGGACTGTGTTTTAAGACAGGATGTTTGATATTAAATGGACTAAATGCATTTTAAACTTATGATATTTTCAATTTGTAATGGTTTTCAGAGTGTCATTTCATCATAAGGAGAGGACCATCTGTATTACCTTTTTATTAACCTACTTTGAAGCAGGTTTGTGTTGCTGATATCCAAGGGAACACTGATCGGTGGATAAGGGTTGGGGATTGTTGGTGTTGATGCATTTCTCATGGCGTGGGGGTTAGTAGGTGCTCACCAAACATGGGCTCTGGTTATTATCATCCAAGTTATAATTTAGGACCCATCTTGGTGCTTTGATGCTATTAGTCAAGGCATGGAGCAGGGAACAGGAGTTTTTTTGCAACAGATTTGGCAACAAGATCTGAGTGGAGTGGATGGGTAGAGAAGTGGAAAGAATGTTTTGTTTCATGAATCTTAACAGTCAATTTCTCATTATAGCCAATATCTCCCATCTTCAAAAGTAGGAACCAAAACAATAAATACTTCAAAAATACCCAATATCAAAATATACTGCAAAGCCCTAGTAACAAAAACATATGGTACGGGCACAAAAATAGACATGTAGACCAATGGTATAGGAAAGAAGATACAGAAACACACAACTACAGTTTGGAGGCAAAAAACATATGGTGGAGAAGAGATAGCCTCTTTAACAAGTGGTGCTGGCAAAACTGGCTATCCATAGGTAGAATACTGAAACAAGATCCCTCTCCCTCACTCCGTACAAAAATCAATTCAAAATGGATCAAAGACTTAGGTATAAGGCCTTCAACTTTGGAAGTGCGAGACAAAACCATAAGGGAAGCACTTGGAGTCATAGGCATAGGAAAGGACTTCCCAAATAGGACTCTAATAGCAGAGGAAATAATAGCAAGAATCAACAAATGGGATGACATCAAATTAACAACTTCTGCACAGCAGAAGCAAACAACAGAATGAGGTGGAAGTCTACAGAATGGGAGAAAGTCCTTTGCTACAGATTTTTCTGGCAGAAGATTAATGTCCAGAATATATGTCAAAATATTTAATACCAACTCCCCCAAATAACTCAATCAATAAATGGGAAAATGAACTGAGCAAACATTTCTCAAAAGAAGTACAGGTGGCCAAGTATAGAAAAATTGTTCAGCATTCTTAGCCATTGGGGAAACGCAAGTCAAACTACATTGAGATTCCATCTCATCCCAGTCAGAATGGCTATCACGTCAAGAATACAAAAAACATTAACTGATGGAGAGGTTGTGGAGGGAGAAGGAATACTTCTGCACTACTAGTGTGAATGTAAACTACTACAACCGCTATAGAAATCGGTATGGAGGTTCCTCAAAAACCTAAAAAACAGAACTATTAACTGAGCTTGCTATACTACTCCTTGGTATATTCCTGAAAGAATTAAAGTCAGCATACTATACAGATACCTGCATACCCATGTTTATTGTGGCACAGTACACCATAGCTAAGTTACGGACACAGTAGGTACCCATTAACAGATGAATGGATAAAGCAAGAGTGCTTTAGTACACAATAAAATATCATTCAGCCATAAAAAGATTGAAATTTTGTCATTTGCAGAAAGATGGATGGAACTGGAGATCATCATGCCAAGTGAAATAAACCAGACCCAAAAAGTCAACTAACACATTTTCTTTCATGTGTAGAATCTAAAACAAGTTTAAAAAAATTTAAAAGATGATATAAAATCCACAAAAGTAGTAAGTGGAAATAAAGCAAAATAAACTCTCAAATCACGGTGGTTCTTTTTGGAGGGTTCATTTTTCAAAACTAATACTCTTTAAATTACTCAAGCTTATAATATACAAAGACTTTGTGGTGACAGCCCTGCCAGCAGAGGAAGAATTAGCCTGGTGGAAGGAAGCAGGGAGGCGCGTGCAACTGTATGTCTCCATGCAGGACCTGGTGCAGTAGGGAACACTGGCGAAGTAGGTTGGTGTGAGGGCAGGAAGTGGGACATAGGAAGTACAGTCAGAGGTGCTGAAAGGCTGATCACAGAGCCTTGACTATCAGGGACACATTGGGAGAGTGAGCCAGGCAAGCAAAGACTAGACTCCCAGGCATAGTTTAGGGAGCCTTCTGCATTGATGTGCTTGCAGAAGAAGGGAAAGTGAAGACAGCTTAGAAGAGAGAGGAAAGCCAGGCCAGCGTGGTGGGGGACTGTGGTGTTCAGGAGTAAGCTGGATGGCTCAGAGGTGACTGCAGCAAGCCGAGAATGTTCTGTGATGGTGCTGGTAGTGGGCTTGATCCAATGCATGGCAAGATCAAAGAAAGGCATTTTTAGGAGGGGGCCACTGAACGTGTTTGTGGATGGAGGGAGCAGAGCTAATGAAAAGCAATACATCGAAAATACAGGAGAAAATGTTTAACAGATGAAAGATTAGTAGACAGAGGCTGCTATTCCAAGGGCAGAGGAAAGAACAGGGTGCTCGGTGGTTGTGGGGAGGGGTGGGCTTGGAAAAGTGGAGGGGCAGGTCTGACCCTGAGAAGGAAGAAAGGTGTGGTGGAGATGCAAAGAGAATTTTCCATCTGAGAGAACTGCAAGGGAGGGAGTCGGTGCAGGTGATGTCACTGTCACCACGACAGGCTCCTAATAAAAGGACACCAGTGGTTGTCCCTTACAGGATGTCATCTATGTGCCAGCCTTAAGGCTAAGCCTTTGACACACGTCTCCTGTATCATCACCTCATTATGATTTCATTACTTGTAGCTATTAAAAATCCCATTTTAATTGATAATTTGAAATAGGAAGAAAAGGCCCAAAAGGGTAGGGGAAGTGGGAGGGGAAGGGGAAAGGAAAGAAGGGAAAGGAAAAATGATGAGAAAAGGCAGAAAATGGAAATAAAGTCTTTGTAAATAGGGAAGGGGGGGGTAAAGGGAGCACAGGGAATGGGGAAAAAAATAAGATACATCATGTACAGGTACAAGCACCCAGTGATAAATGTAAACATATTGTATACCTAAAACATACCAATAAAAGAATTTAAGTAAAAAATGAATTAATCAATGAAAAAATAAATATTTTTAAAAGTAAAAAACAATCCCATTTTACAGATAAGGAAATTGAGGCTCTGTTAAGTGTCCTGCCACCAATCAATTTCAAAAGTGAGATAAGATGTTGAATTTATCATATTCCAAGAGCATCCTTTATAATAATGAGTAACCAATATGAACATGCACTCACAAATGCACACACACACGCACACACACATAAACACATACACATGTACTCCAGCTACCTGGCCTGAGAAAAAGCCACTACCCAAAAAACTTGGGCTTGCTGTGGTTGATTTCTCAGAATGCATATTCTGGGCCTCAAAGCCACAAAGTTTGATCTGTAGGTCTGAGTAAAGGCCCAGAAAGAAGCATTTTCTCCCAGGTTACATTGCGACATGAGTCCACACAGTGACTCTGATCTGTGTTACACACTGTGAGGAGCCCAGAGCCAACGTTATCCTATGCACATGGGCTTCTCTGCTGAATAAAACATTCCTCAGCAGGCCTGAGCTTTTGGCTTGGAAACGTACATTTCTTCTGGGAGTTTTAGGATATGGGAAAGTTGGTCTTCTTACCTTTATAATGACCTTGGGGTCAAACTGGGGCAGGTGGTGGATGAAGAGTGTACAGCCTGCTGTCCATGGCTCAAACAGGCCACCCACGGCGGCCAGAATCCAGCCTGGGTCTGACACGCACCAGAACACATCTGACTTCTTCAGCCGCATTAATTTCCTGCTAACTCCAAAATGCAATGGCCTCAGTTGTGCTGTCGTGGGAGGATGAGGGCAGGGGCTGGGAATCTAGTTTTCAGCAAGGGAGTCGCCTTGCTCAGTCCATGTGATTTGGGTGACTGGGTCCCATGCCATTCCCAAAGGTCTACCACCAAACCATAGCTCCCCATCACACGCAACAGAAAGAGCTTGGTGCTGCTGATCCATAAGGCCTTTGTTAGGAATGCTGGGGCAACACCTGCTGCTCTTCCCCTGGATCTGAACCAGTTACTGATACAGTCCTGAGGATGCCAGGTGACAGTTTTGGATAATAAGGGACAAGGTTCTCTGAAAACAGCATCAAGAGAGCAGGAATAGAGCTGAGAGATGGAGAGATGAAAACCTAATCTGGAGTCTATCCAGCTATGTCTGAAGTCCAACCTTGCTCTGCTCTGGTTCATGAGACAGTAAGTTCTTTTATTTCACCTTTGGCCTAAAAGGGCTTGACTTGGGATTTCTGTCATTTGCAATGGAAGGGTGTATATATATACAGTTAGATAGGAAGAGACCCAATTAACACCCCATCTTGGCAAGAGACTGGAAACAATTTATCAAAGGGTAACAACTGGAAAGTAGAGTGGGGAAGGTCCCTTCCTTCTCTGCCTTATCCTGCTGCTTCTGAAGGACCTCTGTGAGTCCAGGTCCTTTAGAAACACGCAGTACTCAACTTAGCCAGCCATGACTTTGAGAAGCTCTTCTGTTGGCAGGGAGGGGCCCCAAGATTCCTCCTCTTGTTTCTCTTAGGACCCTGGCACACCTACAGGAAATCACTAGTGAGGCACTCTGTTTTGAGCTTCAGCCCCACCTGGCCACTGAACATCTCTTTTGAGGTGTGTCTTGGGCACCCCCAACCCAGAAAACCTAATAGCTCTTGCCTCTTTCAAACTGACTCTTCCTCAGTACTCCCTGTATATCAGTGAACATCATCACTATCCAGGCTCCAAACTGGGGTCAGTCTTGACCACACCTTTATTTTCCACATGTAGCCAGCAGGTCCTGGCCACCACCATCCTGGACCTGGACTGTTCTAAAGGATCCACCTGGTCTTTCCAAATTCCCTTCTCCATTTTGTAGCCACAGTGACTTTTGCAAAAAAAAAAAAAAAAAAAAAAGGAAACTGATCATAGCTCTTCATCACTAAAACCTTTCAATACCTTCCCACTGGCTTCCTAATAAGGTCCAAACTCTGCATCAAGACCCCCAAACTGCACAATCTGGGCCCCACTCAATTTTCCAACTTTTCCCATTGGTCTTTCTCCCTACACCCTGAGCCTTAGTCTCGCATCTTTGTAGTTCTAGGGATAGTATTCTCTGTCTTAGTCCCTTTGTGCATATTATTCCAAGTGCACGGACAGCTCTTTCTTTTCTTGCCTTCAAGGGTCTTTCTACTCAATGTTTTCATCAGCACTAATATCCCCTGCCCACGAGAAGCTGTCTCTGCTTCCTGCTCTAGTTAACAAGTTAGAAAATAGAATTTGGTCTAGTCTGAACATTACTAGTTGGAGAAAAGGAGGTATGGGGGAAGAGAGGTTTAAAATAGATTAAATGATTAACCTGGGACTAGAGCTTCAGTCTCTTTGCTCTTGGTTCAAGGGCGGGCAGTGACTTGGGATAGCTCTGGTCCAGTTATTTTCCTCCCTAACACTTTGTGATTGGGAAACTCTAAGTCTGATTTGCCCACAGAACATTCTGTCTTTCCCCATCAAACTGTGTGACCTGCTGTGTTTATCCATGTTTCCTCTACACCTCCTGTGGAGGTGTCCAGGTAGGACCCAAAGGGGACTCCTTTGTTACTCTCAGGTCTCCTCCTCTCTCAAGATTCCCTTCCCCACCTTCACCTCTCAGACTCTCACAGTCTGAATCAGAGAGCAGAAGGGAGAGACCGGGTGGAAGTACTTCTATTTACAGCTCTGGCCCTTCTGCCATCCCCCCCACACATACACAACCCTTGCACCAGACCCAAGATCTAGTGTCTTCCTACCATGTAGGGAGGTAGGAACGCAAAGCAAGTCCGTGGCTGTGTTTTGCCATCTTGGGGAGACCTGTGGTCCCACTAGTGAAGAAGATGATCATGGGATCCTTCGTCTTCGACTTAATACAGGTGTGCTCTGGGGATGCTGATCTGCAAAGAGATTCAAGACCAATAAAGAATAAGTCATGCATTCTCTTCCCTTGGAGGAAGCAAAGGAAGCAACCTGGAGCATGGAGTCAGGAAATGGGGGTGCCAGACTGTGGCTTTCCCAGGGTGGGGTAGCAAAGTGACCGTACGGTTCCGCTGGCCAAGTGGACCGGCATGTCTCTATTGGACAAGTGGGAAAAACATAGCAACCACTTAAACAGCATTTGTAGGTTCCAGGCAACGCCTTAAGTGCTTAACAAATAGGAACACAGTCGATTCTCAGCGTGACCCCAGGAGGACAGTGTGGCATAAACCAGCCCCATTTTGCAGGTGGGGAGCTGAGGCTTAGAGGGGGTAGGTAACTAGCCTGAAGGCACATGGCTAGCAGGTGGGGCAGCCAATCTGAGCTATGGCTGTGCTCTTAACCACATGGCTACACAAACTAGCTTTATAGGAAATTTTAAAAATATCACAATCATCTTATTAATGTATATTGGTTATATAGAAAAACGGGTTTGATTTGGGTGCGTTTGTACAGGCACATCACATACTTGGATTATTTCTACCCCTCCTCCATTACTACCTTTTACCTTCCTTTCATTGACCCCCGATCGTTTCCCCATCCAGAGTACCTCTCTTCTACTTTCCTGTCAACTGTTTTCCTATTTTGTTTTAAGATTCTTCATATGGAGAAAATGTACAATATTTGGCTTTCTGACTCTGGCTTATTCTGCTCACTGTGATGGTCTCCAGTTACACTCATTTTCCTGCAAATGACATGATTTCGTTTTCCTTTATGGATGAATGGTACTCTACTGTGCGTTGGTACAACATTTGCTTTAGCCATTCGTCTGTTGGTGGCACCTCAGCTGGTTCCATATCTTGGCTAATAACTGTGCAAATGCGGCTGTCGCTGAACTGGACCCCATGACCTTGGTAGGAGGATTGGGAAGGAGAAAGTGAGGGAGAGGGAGAGTGGAAGAATGATTCGCCGTCACGATTTTCGATGTGTTCGGGCTGGCAGGTTGCCTCAATCTGCTTGGACTCTCAGGAGCCTCTCTGGGCTGAGGTGCCAGGGCCTACTCTGGAAACACAAGCCTTCTGTGGTGTTCAAAGAAAATGCAAAGAATCCCAGGGCTTGAGGAAATACTGGCTCTGCTGAGAAATGCTACCATACTGACTCTGGGAAGTTGGCTTTTCCTAGAGCGTTCTGGATGCTAAGCTGTTTTCATTTAGTTCTCTGGCTGTAGCGTAAGATGTAACTTTGCTGTAAGGTCTGGCTACTCCCAGCCCACAGTGCCCGCATGGTTTGTGCGTGTGACGGGAGATCTGCCTGCATGCTTGGGTCATCAAATCTTTCTTTCCTCCAACTCTTCCTAACTTTGCCCAGAAGGGTGTCTCTGAGGCCCTCAGCCCCTAGAAGATGCAAATGCTTGCTCTTGAAGCTGCTGGCCAACCACAGCTGGCAATTCAATTTATTTTGAAATCTCAAGCCTCATCTTATATTCATTTTCATCTTTTAATAAATTTCTTTATATGTGCAAATTTTTTGTGGTACTGAGGATTGAAACTAGGGGCTTTGCACTGACCTACATTCTACGGGGTGAGTATGCTTTACTGAGAGAAGCATTTATTTTACAGATAAAGAGATTCAGAGAGGGGAAGGAACAAGCCCAGGGTCACACAGCAAATAAGTGACAGAGCTGGAAGAGAAAATTTCTGGCATCTAATGTGGGGAGCTTCCTACCACTGGCTGCTTATCTCCTAGCACTTGGGTGTGAATGGTCTCCCACCGTTCCTTATTGAGAAACCATAGTCATCAGACCAGGAACTCACCTAATCAGTGACCGGAGGTCCAGCCACCCATGAAGGCTGTGGTCAGAGACCAGGAGCTTGGTTTTCAGAGCAGGGCACTCCGAAACCACAGAGTCTATCTCCGAGACAACAGTATCTGTGGTCACGACGGCCTTAGCCTTAGATACTTGTAGTCTGTAGAGAATGTCCTTGGCCTTCAACTGGGTCGTCCCTGGGATGAAGATGATCCCTGGGGATGAGAAAGAAACAGCTGTTTCAGCGTCTTTCATACTCATGGGCTTCAGGCTGACCTTGTCCGCAGAGAAAGGTTCCCACCTGTGCTGTAGAGGTATGGTCCACGGACAGCCACACCAGCAGCACTGGGGAAGTGGAAACTCTCCCCCTGGGCCAAACCTTGGAACTAGCACTTGCATTTTCCTATGCATACGAAAACTGGAAAGCCCCACCCTAAACTTTTCAAAGTCCTCCGGCCAAAAGACGCAAACTGCTTTATACAAGTTTACAGTGGAGCTGAGAATAGGGTTGTGAGTGTCCCTGACACCCGGGAAGGCAGCATCCCAGGCCTCCATCTTTCTCTTCTCCTCTTCCTCTTTGTCAGCCCTTGGACTCCATCTTGAACCTCCTTCATCTCATTCCAAATTTAATCACCTTGTCCTTGAACTTTCCTACCTTCTCTTCAATCTGCACCAGCCACAATGAGTTCAAGCCTTTAGCTGCCTCTGCTTGGTCTCTTCCCTGTACCAAACGGCCTGTTCTGCCACCCAGGTTCCATAAAGCACGGACTTCTCCCTTTCCACATTCTTCTCTGCACCATTAATGGTGCCCTCTCTCCAGGAAAACACACTCCCTGTCCTGACACTGAAGCTGCCACCCACTCTTCCTTTTTATTTGTTTTTATTTTATTTTTGCTACCAGGGATCAAACTTGGGATCTTGAGCTTGCGAGGCAGGCGGTGGCACCACTGAGCTGAATTCCTGGCCCCCTCTCTTCCTTTTTATCTCTCTCATCTCTAGTCTATATTTCAAAATGGCCGTTCTTCATCTGGGCTACACCCGACCTAGCCTTCGCATGAGTTATACTTGGAATGTCCCTCTTTGGCTTCCAATCCTCTCGAATCCTGCTTTTCTTGGAGGGCCCAGCCTAGCTCATTGTCTCCACAGGCCACCTCTTAGCTTTACATGTGAAGTGGCTTTCCCCCTCTACACTCCCTCTGCCATTGCTGGTAGTTCTCCCTCATGACCTTGTTGAAGTAGTCAATTATTTAAATTTGATAGAGAATAAAAGAGAGGAGATGCGCATGACAGAGTACTGTATGAGTATGCACGATAGGATGAGAGAGATGATTCTGAAAGAGAAGCCAGGAGTTCCATGCTGATTCTAAACGATACAGATAAAGCTAGGCGGGTACTTATAAGAGGAAGGGAGACGTCTACAGAACAACTCAACTAGTAAGTGTCAAGGGTATGATATAAATAGAAAAATCCCATATAAAATCACCATAGTAATAGTCAGTGCAGTCAAGATTTGCCAGCAGATACTCAAACCATAGTGTGCCTAGCTGCTGTGAACAGGACAGGCCATACAGTGTCATCCAGACTACTCATGAGGAGAAATCAAGTGACTAGTACCTTACAGAAATGATGGAACAATTATCCCTGAGGATGGGACAGGCTCAGTCCATACGCAAGCCAGTGTCACACAGTGAGGAGTACACAACACTGCCTTGCTAGTGTTCCTGCCAGAAGCCTTTAACCTAAATGCCATCAGGGAGACTCATACTTAAACAATTTGTGCAAAACAACTGGCTTACACTCTTCCAAAATGATTGAAAGGAACGGAGGAGACATACCAATTAAATACAAAGCATGATTCTCAATTGGATTTAAAGCAAAAAACTGGCTTTTAAGGCTATTATGTGGTCAGTAGAGGAACTGTTACTAGGGATGTATATCAGGTCACCATGTCTTATCAGTGTTAGTCTTCTTGTATGACAATTATAGTGATTGTGGAGAGCATGTCTTAATTTTAGCAGACATGTGTTTGTGTTTTAGGCATTTATCTGGTATTTGCAGCTGTCACAATGTCCATATCTGATTCTTTTATTTTTTTTTGTATTAAATTCTTTTATTGGTACATTGTAGGTATACAACACAATTACATTTCTCATTGGGAATTGTACCTTTACATGATGC